CCCTGGGTAGAGTACTGTAGCACCATAGCTCACAGCAACCTCCAACTCCTGGGCTCAAGCGAGTCTCCGGCCTCAGCCTCCCGAGTAGCTGGGACTACAGGCACCCGCCACAACACCCAGCTATTTTTTGGTTGCAGCCGTCATTGTTGTTTTGGCGGGTCCGGGCTGGGGATTTGAACCCGCCACCTTAGGTGTACGTGGCTGGCAGCTTAGCCGGTTGAGCTATAGGCGTTGAGCCGAGGATCTTTATTATTTTCCCTTCTATCTTGGTACTGCTTTAGCTGCACATTATAAATTTTGGTATGTTAGGCATTCATTTTCCTTTTTTAAAATTTAATTAATTTATTTACTTAATTATTTATTTATTTAGAGATATAGTGTCACTTTGTCACCCTTGGTAGAGTGCTGTGTCGTCACACCACACAGCAACCTTGAACTCTTGGGCTTAATTGATTCTCTTGCCTCAGCCTCCCAAGTAGCTGGGACTACAGGTATCTGCCACATAGGCATTCATTTTCAAATGTCACAAAGTATTGTGAAATGTCCCTGCTTCTTTGACCCTTTGGGTATTTAGGCTTACAATGATTAATTCCCACATATTATTGAATTTCCCAAATTTCCTTCTATTAATTTTTTTGAGGATAAGAAAATCTCCATTACAACAACAGTTTTTCCAGTTCAGACATACTTGTGATGGTCAGAAGTGAACATACTAAGCAACAAAAAAGACAAAGACGTGAGAAAGAAATAAAAGACACAAGATGGTATTCAGAAAAGAAAACCACCTTTTAACATATGTACTTATTGGGCCGGGCGCAGTGGCTCACACCTGTAATCCTAGCACTGGGAGGCCAAGGCAAGTGGATTGCCTGAGCTCACAGGATAGAGACCAGCGTGAGCCAGAGCAAGACCACGTCTCTAAAAATAGGCATTGTGGCAGGCACCTGTAGTCCCAGCTACTCAGGAGGCTGAGGCAAGAGGATCACTTGAGCCCAAAAATTTGAGGTTGCTGGGAGCTGTGATGCCATGGCACTCTACCAAGGGCGACATAGTAAGACCCTGTCTCCAAAAAAAAAAAGTTCCATTGTTTGAAAACAATGTTAAAAAATTCTACATCATCAGACAATGCTACTAATTATATTTTAGTAACAATCCTAATTCTTCAGAATAAAACACAAAATCTCACAGAACCTGATCCTTCCTAACATACTGATTTCATATTCTATTAGTCCCCCCTCACTAATTGTGCTTTCCTATACCAGTTGCTCTAAGAAATACAAATGCTATGTCCCTTTGCGAGTTTTGCATGTGGTATTCACTCTTATCCCTCATATACTGAAACAAATGGAGTCTTTCATGTCTCTGCACAAATGTCACTGCCACATGACTTTGTGAATGCACCACATAATATAAAAGTACCCTATTCTTATTGTTGTTTTCAGATAGTTCTCACTCTGTTGCCCAGCCTAGAGTGCCATGGCATCATTCTAGCTCACAGCAACTTCAAACTCCTGTGTTCAAATGATCCTCCTGCCTTACCTTCCCAAGTAGCTGGGACTACAGGTGCCTGCCACAACACCTGGCTAGTTTTCCTATTTTTAGTAGAGAGGGGAGTTCATTCTTTTTTTTTTTTTTTTGAGACAGAGCCTCAAGCTGAGCCCCTGGGTAGAGTGCCATGGCTTCACTGCTCACAGGAACCTCCAACTCCTGGGCTCAAGTGAGTCTCCTGCCTCAGCCTCCCAAGTAGCTGGGACCACAGACGCCCGCCACAACACCCTACTATTTTTTGGTTGCAGCCGTTATTGTTGTTTGGCGGGCCCAGGCTGGATTCGAACCGGCCACCTTAGGTGTATGTGGCTGGGGCCTTAGCCGCTTGAGCCACAGGTGCCGAGCCAGGAGCTCATTCTTGTTCAGGCTGGTCTCAAACTCCTGAGCTCAAGCAATCCTCCAGCCTTGACCTCTCAGAGTGCTAGGATTATAGGCATTAGCCACAGTACCCAGCCTCCTATTCTTGTTTACTGCCCTTCATAATATATTTCAATGCCCGATGTTATTTAACTATTTATTTGTTTTCACAATGTACTTTACATCTTCCTTAATATACTGTGATCTCCATTGTTACAGGAACATTATCTATCCTATTTAGTACTACTGGGCTGTTCATGCCAAGCACAGGGCCAGGCTCAGAGTACCCAAGTATTTGCCATATATAAGAATAGATGTATTTTTATGGAATGGAGCCATATGCCATGTATATGGATCTGTATGCAAAAGAACACCTGAAAAGCATTTGGATCCAGTATCTACAGAAAACGATTGCATCCCAGAAAGAGAGGGCCTGTCACTAAACTGGGAAGGAATATGAGAAAAATAACAGGGAGCAGATACTGAATAAGTATTAAGTATAATGACTATCTCACATTAAGGTACTCATTTCTTCTCCATATCACAAGCTTCTTTTCCATTGAGAAGGAATGTGGTTACCAACTGAATGGCCCAATTCCATTTGAGCTGTTACTTACAGAAAAGGCTTTCCCTGCCTCACTTGCTCTTACCTGTGCACTCTCTTCTTGTTTCTTCCCTCACAAGCATCCAGGGCTCTTTTCTTTGCTCCAATAAGGTAATTATATCTGGCTTAGACATGGAATGTCCTGCTTACAAAGAAAAGAAGTGCAATAAAATATGGAAATAAACATTGAAAGTCAAAAATTATAATTAATAAACAATTCAACAGGCAATAAACCATCAAAGTGACACTGAATAAGAGTTTACAAAAGAGTAAGAGAAATAAAGAAAAAAGATCACTTATGGAAAGTCATAATGTTTTTATTTCGCTGTTCTTTAAAAATAAATTTAAATTCATATGTCTTCTACTTCTAGACAGCAAGCATAATGAGGTGGAAACACATTATGGAGTCTGGGATCTAGTGACTTTGCCACTCTCCAGTTGTGTTTGACCTTGGACAAGTCACTTGAGCTTACTTTATTTATTTAAACTTCAGTATTACCACTTGTGAAACTGGAAAGTAATAGGGCTATTGGGAGGACTAAATTAGCTGATATCTAAGTAAACTGCTTATAAAAAATGTCTGGAATACAGTAATCACAATGTTAGCTATTAATACTAGTATGCACTGTAATCATTTTACTAAGAGTGTAAAAGAAGAGATACCTATAACATATTCACCCCACTTTATGTCATTTTCATGGATTACAATTATACATAACTCAAATGAAGTCTGGTTGGACATGGTAGTTCACATCTATAATCTTCACACTTTGGGAGGCTGGAGCAAGAAAACCCCTTGAGATGAGGCATTCAAGATCAACCTAAGTAACATAGTAAGACCCCCCAACTCTAAAAACAAAAATTTAAAAATCAGCCAGGCATGGTGGTACATGCCTATAGTCCCAGCTACTCCAGAGGCTGACGTAGGAGGATCACTTAAGCCCAGGAATTTGAGGTTACAGTGAGCTATGAGTGCACCACTGCACACTAGCCTGGGTGACAGAGCAAGAGTCTAGAAATACACACACATATCAAATGAACTCCATCTTAAGAAACGGACTGCTTTCTCCTCAGTTTTAAGTGAATTCCATTTATCCAACCACTATATGAAGAGGCTGTCCCTTGATAATGACAGCAATCCAGGACCCTCTGTAGAGCAAATATCCCTGCAACTGGATCAGATCATAAAATGGAGCACTACATTTATTCTGAGCACAAATAAATAATAAAACTGGATCCTCTGACAAATGTTCTATGATGAACACCAGAAAATTCTAAGCTAAGGCAGCGCCTGTGGCTTAAAGGAGTAGGATGCTGGTCCCATATACCAGAGGTAGTGGGTTCAAACCCAGCCCTGGCCAAAAAAAAAAAAAAACTGCAAAGAAAATTCTAAGCTAAACCACTGATCACGAAGGAAAAAAAGACAAAAGAAGTTATCAGAAGGACGTGTGAATGTCACTGAAAGAGAAGATGAAAGTGTTTAATAGAATTGCTGTTTCCAACCTGCCAAACCTCTATTTCCATCTGAATAAAGGAAAGAAATTTAACTGGCATTTTCAAAGGCAGCCTTGAAAATTACAGAAAAATTATGTATCCTACAAAGCAGATTCTAGGTTATTCCAAATCATTTGGGGCTAATAAACATACCCATTGAGACCAAGTTACCATAGTTTTCCATCATCACTTCCCGGTATAGAGTTCTCTGGACCAGGTCGAGATATTCCCACTCCTGACGACAGAAGTCTATGGTTATATCCTTGAATGATATGGATACCTGAAACAGCAAACATGTATTACAGCAAAAATTAAAGAAAAGGTTTAGAAAATGGAGGAGATAAAGAACTTCACTGCAGCAAAAGAACAACACAACCAGCGCACAGAACAGAATCTATAATGTCGGAAGAGAGGGACTGAGCAAAATGTGTACATATTTTTGAAGAGAATTGTGACATAGACAAAACTTTCTGCATGCTCTACGATACCTCTTAAATATCTAACACTTCTGAGATTCAAAAAATAATATCATTTTCCTGTTGAATTAAATCATTATTATATGCATAATGCCCAAAAGGTATCTGCCTCATAAATTCTCAATGTCAGTTAAGTAAGGAATATTTTCACTTGGAAGGGAATTAAAATATTGAGTCATGAAAAATTTTATCCTACATATAATATAGACAGAATCTCAGTTTTAGAAAATAAAGTTTCCATAAAATAATTTCTTCAAGGGCGGCGCCTGTGGCTCAGTGGGTAGGGTGCCTGCCCCATATACTGAGAGCGCCAGGTTCGAACCTGGCCCCAGCCAAACTGCAACAAAAAATGGCCGGTCATTGTGGTAGCACCTGTAGTCCCAGCTACTAGGGAGGCTGAGGCAAGAGAATCGCCTAAGCCCAGAAGTTGGAGGTTGCTGTGAGCTGTGACGCCACAGCACTCTACTGAGGGTGACAAAGTGGACTCAGCCCTAATAAATAAATAAATAATAATTTCTTCAAGCATCAAGTACTTCACTATGTCAAATATCACTATGAACTTTTTTTTTTTGAGACAGAGTCTCAAGCTGTCACCCTCAATAGAGTGCTGTGGCATCACAGCACACAGCAACCTCAAACTCTTGGGCTTAAACGATTCTCTTGTCTCAGCCTCCCAGTATCTGGAACTACAGGTGCCCACCATAACGCCAGCTATTTTTTGGTTGCCGTTGCCATTGTTGTTTAGCAGGCCTGGGCTGGGTTCAAACCCACCACCCTTGATGTATGTGGCCGGCACCCTGCTGACTGAGCTATGGGTGCCAGCCTCTTACCATGAACATTTTTATTTCTTTTAACAAAAGGATTTTTTTTTTTTTGCATGACATCAATATTTTATGGTATTTGTTTCTCTGGGCTTTCCATCAAAATTCACAATCTCTGGGTTTATAAGTCCAAATCAAATATTAATTCATGTCTGGTAGGCCGAAGTGGGTAACTGCCTGAACTCAGGCGTTCTAGACCAGCCTGAGCCAGAGTAATACCTCATCTTTTTTTTTTTTTTTTTTTTGAGACAGAGTCTCACTATGTCACCCATGGTAGAGTACTGTGGCATCACAGCTCACAGCTTTTGGGCTTACGTGATTCTCTTGCCTCAGCCTCCCAAGTAGTTGGGACTACAGGCTTCTGCCACAATGCCTGACTATTTTTGTTGTTATTGCAGTTGTCATTGTTGTTTAGCTGGTCCGGGCTGGGTTCGAACCCTCCAGTCTCAGTGCACGTGGCTGGTGCCATAACCACTATCCCACAGGTGCTCGCACCTGCTGTGCTGGCAGGCGCCTATAGTCCCAGCTACTTGAGAGGCTGAGGCAAGAGAATCACTTAAGCCCAAGAGTTGGAGGTTGCTGTGAGCTGTGACACCACAGCACTCTACTAAGGGCAAGAAAGTGAGACTCTGCCTCGAAAAATAAAAAGAAAAACAAACAAAAAATTAATTCACATACATATGCAATTTTTCCCTACACAAAAATTAATGTCCTTTGATGCCAAATTCTACCATATCTACCTGAAAAATTCAAATGTCTTGAAAATTTCAAAGACTTCTCAAGGATAGTCAAATGGAACAATTCTCTCAGTCTTACCAAATGACAAAACTGACCTGGAATGCATATGTCTTCACTTCTTAGACCTTGACTCCTTTAGTGTCAAATATTATTGAATATCTTAACTCTTTTACTGCCCATATAATTGCAATATTTGGGCTCAGCTGCTGTAGCTCAGTGGCTAGGGGCCAGCCACATACACCAGAGCTGGTGGGTTCAAACCCAGCCCAGGCCTGCCAAACAACAATGACAACTACAACCAAAAAATAAAAATAGCTAGGCATTGTGGCAGGTGCCTATAGTCCCAGCTACTTGGGAGGCTGAGGCAAGAGAATCGCTTGAGCCCAAGAGTTTGATGTTGCTGTGAGCTGTGACGACATGGCACTCTACCAAGAGCGACATAGTAAAACTCTGTCTCAAAAAAAAAAAAAAAAAAGAAAGAAAAATTTGGTCAATAATGATATGAACAGTAGTTACTTTACAGTGGGCCACTCAGGGAACATGAGGGGGATGTGGCTTATACTTTATAGGAAAAACAATAACTGAGAAATACATTAAACTGAGGCCCCTCTCATGGTAGATAACTTCAGGAAAACTAACGAAAAGTCCTACCTGACCTAAAAATCATACACAAATATCAACAAGAAGAGAAACATTAACTTACACAGGCCATGGTGTTATACCAGCTAGAGCTGTTCAGTACTCAGGTTTTCTCTATCAGAAAAGCACGGAAGCTGGAAAACCTAAACCTGAAACAAAAGGAAGATCCTGAGACCAGCTATGCTTTAGTGTTTCCCACAGGACTCAAAACATATTTTTGTTTAGCTCTGCCGTTCTAAATTCTGAACTACTTCCCCATCACACACAATTTGGGACAATTAGGATTCTGGATAAATCCATTTGCTCCCCACATTCACAGGTTTCAATTACACAGAGTCACAAACTGGAAGCTTATAGGCACTGAAGCCAAGCCCAGATATTTTAGCATAATATATTCTGACCAATATACCATTTTAGTGAGGCAGATGTGGACATAAGATTGGGCAGCTCTGAACTACCTCTTTCCATTTCCCCCTTCAAGACTGAAAAGAGAACATGTCATTCATGCCAGAATCTTTCTTTGATCTTGAAAGTGGGTAAAGTTAGTCAAGACATTGGAAAAAGATATGGGAAATATTCAATCCATGATGTTGTAAAAGTCTAACCATTGCCATAATATTGTTGATCACTAATTTTCTGCAAAACCATTCCAAGTTACAATAAATAATCTTTGATTCCATATCAAAAGCCCAGGTCTAAAAAGTTTGGGTTAAGGACACTCAGGAAAACTGAAAATTAACAAACAAATTTCTATCAAATTTCAGGGAGTTCTTGATTCTATGCATGCCCATCGACACAGACAAAGGGACCTCTAATTAAGAATCCCTTTTCTGGAATACTTAAATTTTGGCACAGCTCCTTAACTTGCACAGACAAAAATAAGTTTGTAAGTTGCATTTGATCTATACAAATTGAAAGCAGAATGATCCAGAATCATCTCCTAATATTAAATGTTTAAGTTCCTCCCCATAGCTACACATTTCATACACGTCCCCAAAAGGAAGTACTATAGATGGAATCTGTAATCAGCGTACAATGTAGGTTCTTGGAGTCAGAACTAAGAAAGAACTGTGTTTCTTTTTTCTTTTTCTTTGAGACAGAGTCGCACTCTGTTGCCCTAGGTAGAGTGCTGTGGCGTCATTGTGTCATCTCAGCTCACAGCAACCTCATCCTCTTGCTTCAGCCTCCTGAGTAGCTGGGGCTACAGGCACCCACCATGTCCAGCTACTTTTTCTATTTTTAGTAGAGACAGGGGTCTCACTCTTGCTCAGGCTGGTCTCCCAGGGAACTGTGTTTCTTAAACATGTGAATGATAGAGGAGGGGTTCTAGGAAGAAATCTTATTTCTGGAATTGCCAAAGTTGAGTACCTGACCAAATTTAGTCAGATTCCTTAACTTTCTCCTAGGATCACATGTGCATTTCATTGTAAATCCAGTTTTAGCAAAGAAGGCTGGCTAACTCAGTTTAGCAAGAACCCTCCACCCCCATATCCAATTGGGTTCCTTCTCCTCTATCCTCCCCCAGGTAATGACTGACCACCTCCATTTCTTTCAACAAGAATCTGTTAGATCAATTTATCCAGAATCCTCCTTACCCCTAATACTTCCTCTTAGTAAGTTTCCACCCAAGGATTCTCATTCCCTTCTTTGAGTATAAATTCCCACTTACCCATGCTGTACTGAGAGCTAAGACCCATCTCTCTCACCTACTGCAAAATCCCACTGCAGTGGTCTCTAACTTATCACGATGCTCCTGAATAAAGTCTTCCGTAGCATACTTTGACAAGTGTCACTGAATAATTCTTAACATACTGCTCTAAATTTTCCATCCCGTTTCTTTTCACTGGAAACCTCATTTAAGGCTCAATAATCTGACTTCCCCATCGAAACTATGTCACTGTAGTACTCATATTTGACTGATGGGAGCAAGGAAGCAGCAGGGAACCTGGAACCCCGGGTCACAGTGACGCTCACTACAAAGCCAAGGCAAAGCACCACACACCTTCATTCTCTCTGCGCACCTTAGTCTCAACTGCGCCCACCGACATAGAAGCACGCTCCTGCCCTGTCACACACTGATAACTATCTAACCCTGCCCGCCTTTCCATCCGAGATCAGACCACCCTCCTCTGAAGCTCAAGCCCCAAGCGCCAGAGGCTGCAGGCAGGTATCTCCTGGAGGAGCGCCTCCCGCAACTTCTCTCTCCCCAAGCCGAGTCCGGAACACAGCACAGGGTCTTTCCCGCAGCCACCCACGCCGACTTCTTCTTCAGGTAGGAGTAAGGCAAACATAGCCCACAACCAGAGATGCCGGAAAGGGAGCGAGAGAGCCAAGTTTTCTCGTCGCCTGGGGAAATGCAGCTCAAGCCAGAGCAGTCAGAATTACAGACTCCCATAGGCAAAGGATTCCAGGCAGTGACAGTAACCGGCTGGGAAACTACGTGGACAGACCGCCCCGCCCACCGCCCGAGACCCAGAGACTTCTGGGAGTTGCGGCAATTCCTAGGAGTGCGCAAGCGCAGATGGCCCAACTAGCTGCACAATAAATCTAGCTTTCCGCGCGCGTTTCCACTGAGTTATAAGGTGGTTAAGGAAAGGAGTCTCAGTGGCGCCGGGGCCAGGTAGTCTGAGAGGAGAACTCTGGAATCCTTCTATTCCAAGGCCTCAAACCTGAGTGTGAGAGCACTGTGTAAACTCATTGCCATGATTCCAAGGAGAATGCGTGCTTTACTGGGTGCGGAGTTCCTCAAAGAGGGACTGTGGGACAATTACGGCCCCTGAAACAACTGCACAGCCATGTGGAAAAGAATAAATGAAGACCTTGCCTCTCACCACGTACAAAATCAACTCAAAACGTGAGCTAGGGAACTGGCAGCCACTGCTTAACACAGAACCAAAGTTTTAACTACGCTAAAGGACATGGTAACAGAATAAATTAGGACTGGCTAGAATTAAGATGGGGAAGGAATTGGCTGCTTTTTGGCCTTGCAGCTCATTAGTTATATTCGCATACTGACCCCACAATAGTTCAGGAAGGACCATGTAGAGAAAGGGGAGGGTGGCCAGGCATGGTGGCTCACGCCTGTAATCCCAGCACTTGGGAGGCCGAGGCGGGTGAATTGCCTGAGCTCACAAGTTCCGGACCAGTCTGAGCCAGAGCAAGACCGCGTCTCTAAAAATAGCCCGGCATTGTGTTAGACGCCTGTAGTCCCAGCTACTTGGGAGGCTGAGGCAAGAGGATCACTTGAACCCAAGAGTTGTTGCTGTGAGCTAAGACCCCACTGAACTCTACCGAGGGAGACCAAGTGAGACTCTGTCTAAAAAAAGGGGAGAGGTGTCTCAGTTTTAGGAAATCGCCACCCTGTTCCAAGAAATAATAGGAATATTCCCTTCACTATTTTGGATTCTGCTTAGCCTATGATTAAGCCAGTGCTTAAAGAAATCAAAAGAACCAAAGGAGCAGCTCTGGTCTGGGGCGGTAGCTCACCCCTGTAAGTTTAGCACTCTGGGAGCCAGAGGCAGGTGGATTACCTGAGCTCAAGAGTTGGAGACCTGGCCAAGTGCCATGGCTCACCCCTGTAATCCTAGCACTCTGGGAGGCCGAGGCGGGTAGATTGCCTGAGCTAACAGTTGGAGACCAGCCTGAGTGAGAGCGAGACCTCTGTCTGTATAAAATAGCCGGGTGGGCTATTGTGGCAGGCGCCTGTAGTCCCAGCTGCTTGGGAGGCTGAGGCAAGAGAATCGCTTAAGCCCAAGAGTTTGAGGTCGCTATGAGCTAGGACGCAATGGCAACAGAGCGAGACTCTCTGTCTCAAACAAAACAAAATAAACAAACAAAAACCCCCCCACCTCTTTGGTGAAAAACTTAGCCAGGATCATGGTATAATAAGACAAATGTTTTTCCTTTTAAAAAAATTCAAGTGCGTGTGTAGAGTTGTTTTACATTTATGATTTAATAAAACAGTCCTAAAGAGAAAAAAAAAAAAGGAAAATGCCCCCCCAACTTAATATTAAGGAACATATACACGGTTTTCTTAAGATCATTTTTACATTTAATTATTCAGTTTGTTTTGGTTATACCTTAACATAAAGAAATTAAGAAATATAGTTTCATTCCTATATACTATTAGTTAAGGTACTTAGCATGATTAGTTGAATAAACCAATCCATTTCCAACCATATCAATGGTTACTTTTCCCGGTGTAAATTAAAACAGCCTTTATGGAAAATGGTATGGAGGTTCATATATACCCAGCAAACCTACTTCTGGGTATATCCGAAAGAACTGAAATCAGTATGCCAAGGAAATATCTATACTATCATGTTCACTGCAGCCTTGTTCACAATAGTAACATAAGGAAGCAACCTAGGCATCCATCATCAGATGTATAAAGACAATACGATTTATATATATACAATAGAATATCATTCATTCTTTAAAAAGAGGGAAATTCTGTCATTTGCAACGTAAATCTGGAGGCCATTATGCTAAGTAATGTTCTTATATGTGGAATCCAAAATAGTAAAATGTAAAAGCAGAGAGTAGAATGATGGCACCAGAGGCTGAGGGATGGAGAAAGGTGAGATATTGATAAACAGGGTACAAAGTTTCATTTAGGAGGAATAAACTTGAGTGATTTATTGAACTGAACAGCGACAACAGATTAATAATAGATAATGCACTGCATATTTCAAAACAGCTAAAAGAGTACATATTAAATGTTTTCACCACAAAAAATTAAGCTTGTGAAGTGATGGGTTTAATCAAATTAATCCTTGCACTACGTAATAACATATCACAATATATTGTACTCCATAAACATATAAAATATACAATTATCATTTCTCATTTTTTTTTTAAAAGTTAATTTTCCATATCTTAAAACAAGGTTGGAGATGCTTCAGGGGACAAAAGAGCAGCGTCCTTGCCCTCGGGACTCAACCTAGTGTAGAGTGCTCCCCCTTCCTGGCGGCCAAACGGCAGACCCCGCCCAGCTGGCCTGTTGCAGGAAAACCTCGAATTAAAACTGATAGACACTTACACCAATAATATAGAGGAAGGGACCATTAATTGCCAGAGAACTCAGGGGCCTCAAGACGTGAAATGCTGAGTTCCAGGGAACTGGTTTTTCCCAAACTCTTTTATACTTTCTTTTTCAGCGCAATATCAGCTGCATAGTTACAGTTACAACAGAGTACAAGTTAATGATGAGCTGCATAGTTACAGTTACAACAAAGAGTACAGAGTTTATGATGAGCTTTCTCAGACCTCAGGGTGCTGTTATTTGTTATATAGCTTTTTTTCCCCTAAGGTTATTTTAGCTCAGTATAGGTTTCTTCTTATCTTTGGGGGAGGAGTTCTTCTGCAGCTGTCTGCTACTTTCCAAGGATCATTAAGAAGTATAAGATTTATTTCTCTCTCTTGAGGCTCCACATGCAGAAGCCCAGCTGAGGCTTTGGGGAGTCTGCGTTCTCAGATTTCTGGGTCCACTTGTCCCTTCTGGATTCCCAGGACACAGGGGACATGCCTTTGTATCATGCCTTTGTACCTCCGCCAGCGCATCCCGTCCTTAAATTCACATACTCCCACTAGAAGCAAAACTAAAACCTTCCGGAGCCGGCACGGAGAAGGTCCCCAGTCGGCTTTGCGTTTAACAAGGATTTGGGGCACTGGGTCACTTTTCCCATAAAGCACCGCGGGCACGGATCTTCAGGCTTGAACTACATTTCCCAGAAGGAAACGGGCACGTTCGCTCTATGGCTTCCCTTCCGATTTCGCGTAGTTCTGCTTTGCAAGGCGAGTTAAACTCCTGTCAGTATATAATAGGAACCGGGCTGCGATGGGCTGGGCTCTTGGCTGGCCAGGGTCAAATTGGAGCTCGTCCTGAACTGATGGGGGTGGTGGAGGAAGCCTGTGATATGCACCGACCAGTTGTTTGTAGAATCTCAGGCCTGTGGGTCCGTGAACAACAGAGGAAGTGTTTGTATACGTATGTGAGCAAATATTGCATTTGTCAGATGGGGAATGTGTGTGTGTGAAAGAGTGAGAGTTTATGTGTGTGTGTGTAATGCAAGAGAAACTGCGTGTGAGAGGGCTGGGTTAGCCCTCCTTGACCATTGGTGCGGTTGTGGTACAGTGTGGAGTTATCTAAAAATCCTTCTAATCTTTCAAATTGTCTGTTTCTGGTGGGAAGTATTATGTAAAATGGAATGGACGGGCTAAAAGTTACATGGTAACACAAAAGCCTCCCTTTCTTGTGGTGTCTACTTTCTTTCACAGCTGTGGATGTTCTTTGTGCTTCTGTAGAAGAACCTCAAGGAGGTCTTACATGTTTTTGCAGATATAAAACCATGGCATGTGTAAGTCAATGTTTCTTTCTCATAGAAATGCATGATATAAATGCTTTTATTGACTGTTTTGAAGCTTCCTACATGAAAGAAGCCCATTCAATTCTCTGCTTCTGGGTTTATTCTATACCAGTGAGCAATGGTCCCAAATAATCCAGTGTCCTCTATGTGTGGCCTGGTTTACTCTAACCAGTGTTTATGTATTTGCTGACAAGATTATTTCTTATCTCTTACATGCCTAATCATTTATGAGGGTAGTGATGGAATAATGAGGAAGTTGAGTCTCATAAAGAAAAGATTTGAGCTTCCAGGGCGGCGCCTGTCGCTCAAAGGAGTAAGGCACCAGTCCCATATGCTGGATGTAGCGGGTTCAAACCCAAACCCCAGCTAAAAAAAACTAAAAAAAAAAAAAAAAAAGATTTGAGCTTCCAGGTCAGACTATATTTGTGTAGTTGGAAGAATTGGGGATGGAGGAGCCCATTCAGCCAAATAGAGAAGGAGGTGAGGACAAAGTCTCATTCTGTTACCCAAGCTAGAGTGTCATGGCCTCAGCCTAACTCCAAGTAGCTGGGACTATAGGCACCCACCACAACTCTTGGCTCATTTTTTTGTTGTTGTTTTTTTGAGACAAAGTCTTACACTGTCCATGAGTGAGTAGTAGAGTGTCATGGTGTCATAGCTCACAGCATCCTCAAACTCTTGGGCTGAAGCAATCCTCTTGCCTCAGTTTTTCCTATTTAGTAGAGATAGGGTCCCACTCTTGCTCAGATTGGTATCAAACTCCAGAGCTCAAGCAGTCCACCCGCCTCTACCTACCAGAGTGTTAGGATTACAGGTGTGAGGTACCATGCCCAGACTATTCGATTTTTTTAGTAGAGATGGGATCTCACTCTTGTGTAAGCTGGTCTCTAACTCCTGAACTCAAGTAGTCCTCCCACCTACCCTCTCAGAGTGCTAGGATTATAGGCATGAGCCACTGTACTTAGCCAACATGAATTTTCTAGGTACATGTGGTGAAGCCTTATAATAAATGGTCCTAATCTTACTGTAGGTAAAATCTAGTACTTTCTGAAGCTTTTAGAATTTAATAACAATATAATTTAGGACTTTCTAATATAGGAATCATAATTCTTTGCAGGAAAGCCCTGACCAATAAATTCTATGGCTATTTTAGTGCTGACCAGGATGTGCTGACATTGAATGACTTTGATATAATTCTGGATCATCCTGCATTAATGTCTTTTAACTTGGCAACCAAAAAAGTGTTCATAAGAGGTTTTTTTTTTGAGACAGCATATAACTTTGTTGCCCTAGGTAGAGTGCCTTAGAGATGTAGCTCATAGCAACCTGAAACTCTTGGGCTCAAGCAATCCTCTTGCCTCAGCCTCCCAAGGAGCTGGGACTACGGGTGCCTGCCACAATGCCTGCCTATTTTTAGAGTCAGGGTCTTACTCTTGCTCAGGCTGGTCTCAAACTCCTGAGCTCAAGCAATCCACCTCCCAGAGTCCTGGCATTACAGGAAAAAGCCATCGTGCCCAGCCTAGAGATTTTTTTTTTGCTGTTAGAAGACTCTCGTTCTGTTGCCCTCGTCAGAGTGCAGTGGCATCATTGTAGCTCACACCAACCTCAAACTCCTGGGCTCAAGCAGTCTTCCCACCTCAGCCTCTGGAGTAGCTGAGACACAGATTTGGACCACCATGTTCAGATAATCTCATTCTGTTTTTTGTAGAAAAGGGGTCTCACTCTTGTTCACACTGGTCTTGAACTCCTGGCCTTAAGCATTCCGAGCATGAAATATATAACTAAGGGGCTCAGCGTCTGTAGCTCAGTGAGTAAGGCGCCAGCCACATACACTGAGGCTGGCAGGTTTGAGCCCAGCCCAGGCCTACTAAACAACAATGACAACTGCAACCAAAAAAAATAGCCAGGGTATTGTGGCAAGCGCCTGTACTCCCAGCTATTTGGGAGGCTGAAGCAAGAGAATTGCTTAAGCCCAAGAGTTTGAGGTTGCTATGAGCTGTGATGCCATGGCACTGTACCAAGGGTGACATAGTGAGACTGTCACCAAAAAAAAAAATATATATATATATATGTGTGTGTGTGTGTGTGTGTGTGTGTAGTGTGTGTATGGGTATATGTGTGTGTGTGTGTGTGTGTGTGTATATATATATATTTAAGGGACTTTTACATAAGGCAACAGGAAAGAAGAAAGACTGAAATTAGAAAATAAAATTGTATGAGCTGGGCATGCTGGCTCATGCCTGCAATCCTAGCACTTTGGGAGGCTGAGGTAAGTGGATTGCTTGAGCTCAGGAGTTCAAGATCAGCCCAAGCAACAGTGAGACTCTGTCTCTACTAAAGATAGAAAAATTATCCAGGCATTATGGTGGGTGCCTGTTGTCCCAGCTACTTGGGAGGCTGAGACCAGAGGATCTCTTAGGGCGGCACCTGTGGCTCAATGAGTAGGGCGCTCACCCCATATACCTAGGGTGGTGGGTTCAAACCCAGCCCCAGCCAAACCGCAACAAAAAAATAGCCAGGTGTTGTGGCAAGCACCTGTAGTCCCAGCTACTCGGGAGGCTGAGGCAAGAGAATCGCCTAAGCCCAGGAGTTGGAGGTTGCTGTGAGCTGTGTGACGCTGCCACGGCACTCCACCAAGGGAAGTAAAGTGAGACTCTGTCTCTACAAAAAAAAAAAAAGAGGATCTCTTAAGCCAAAGAGTTTGGGGTTGCTGTGAGCAATGATGCCATGGCATTCTACCCAGGGTGAAAGAATGAGACTGTGTCTCAAAAAGGAAAAAATTAGGGCGGCGCCTGTGGCTCAGTGAGTAGGGTACCAGCCCCATATACTGAGGGTGGTGGGTTCAAACCTGGCCCTGGCCAAACTGCAACAAAAAAATAGCTGGATGTTGTGGCGGATGCCTGTAGTCCCAGCTACTTTGGAGGCTAAAGCAAGAGAATTGCCTAAGCCCATGAGCTGGAGGTTGCTGTGGGCTATGACACCATGGCACTCTACCAAGGGTGACAAAATGAAACTCTGTCTCTAAAAAAAAAATGAAATTAAAATGTTGTCTTGGGCTACATGTTAAATACATAAGTACTGGCCTGGCATATTGGCTCACACCTGTAATCGTAGCACTCTGGGAAGCTGAGGCGGGTAGATTGCTTGAGCTCACGAGTTTGAGACCAGCCTGACCAAAAGCGAGACCCTATCTCTACTAAAAATAGAAAAAATTAGGTAGGCATGATGGTGCATGCCTGTAGGCCCACCTACTCAGGAGGCTGAGACAAGAGGATCACTTGAACCCAGGAGTTTGATGTTACTATGAGCTATGATGATGCTATTGCACTCTACCCAGGGTGACAGAGTGAGACTAGACCTCAAAATAATAAAAATAAAGAATAACAGTAATAAACAACACATAAACACAATGAAAGCTGATTAGAAAAAGAAAGTTTGTATATACTTTTTGTGATATTTAATACCACAGATAAGAAAAAAAAGTCCTCACAAAATCATCCTGCAGTCCTTGGGCTGTAGGTTTTATACCTCTATATGTGTTTTGTTTTGTTTTGTTTTGAGACAGAGCCTCAAGCTATTGCCCTGGGTAGAGTGCTATGGCATCACAGCTCACAGCAACCTCCAACTCCTGGGCTTAAGTGAGTCTCCTGCCTCCACCTCCCAAGTAGCTGGGACTACAGGCGCCTGCCACATCACCTGGCTAGTTTTTGGGTTATAGCCGTCATTGTTGTTTGGCAGGCCCAGCCTGGATTCAAACCTGCCAGCTCAGGTGTATGTGGCTAGCGCCTTAGCCGCTTGAGCCACAGGCGCCGAGCCTCTATATGTGTATATTTTAAGAAAAAAGGGGCAGGGGTTTCGCCCTGTCTCACAGGTTAGATTATAGCTCACTGCAGCCTTAAATTCCTAGACTCAGGTGGTCCTCCTGCCTCAACCTCCCAGGTAGCTGGGAGAACAGGTGTGTGCCACCTGCACACAGCTAATTTTTTATGTTTTGTTGAGACAGGGTCTAACCCTGTGTCTCAGGATGGTCTCCAAGTCCTGGCTTCAAGTGATCTTACCATGTCAGCCTCCCAAAGGACTGGGATTTTAAGCATGAGCCACCATGCCCAGTGCCTCTCTTAAGATTAATCTTAATTGTCTTTTGACAATATATCTGAAATATTTTTCATGTCCTTAAATACATTTTCCTACTCACATTTGATGGCTGTGTTGTGTCTATTACATGCATGTTCTGTATTTTTTTTTTTTTTTTTTTTGTAGAGACAGAGTCTAACTTTATCACCCTCGGTAGTGTGCCATTGCATCACAGCTCAGAGCAACCTCCAACTCCTGGGCTTAGGCGATTCTCTTAGCCTCAGCCTCCCAAGTAGCTAGGACTACAGGCGCCCGCCACAACACCCGGCTATTTTTTTTTTGTTGTTGTAATTTGGCCAGGGTCAGGTTTGAACCGGCCACCCTCAGTATATGGGGCTGACACCCTACTCACTGAGCCACAGGTGCCACCTATGTGTTCTGTATTTACTAACCAATTTGGCTGGACTCAACACAAAACCAGACTGAAGAAATTCCTTCTGTGTTGTATTATCTCCCATATATTGACCAATTTCATCTGATCCCTGATGCCATAAAAGAGGTTCTGTTTTGGATGATGAAGCCTCTTTCAGCCTTGTTAAGTAGGAATGAAGGCAGATGGACCTACCTAGGAAGACTGAGCAGCCTAGCAGCCTAATCTCAGGGCTAGATCATCCTCCTCAAGAGGGCGACTTGTCCCCAAAACCTCCTGCTCTAGTGACTGGATCTGATTTCAGTGCAGAAATGACTTATTCTACAACTACCTTTGTATAGCTCTGTTTCCTGGGGTTTGAGGGCGATCATCTTCTCTTTTTCCTTAAATTATATGCATACTTGTGGGGGATTAATTTTGGAAGGAAAAATGTAGGAGCAGAAAGATTTTATTAAATTAAACAATATTGGGAACACTGGCTCGGCGCCTATAGCTCAACCGGCTAAGGCGCCAGCCACGTACACCCAAGGTGGCGGGTTCGAATCCCCAGCCCGGACCCGCCAAACAACAATGACGGCTGCAACCAAAAAATAGCCGGGCGTTGTGGCGG